CCTGTAGGCCCTGGCGCTGCTCTAAGGTGTCCCCTTGAGGAGCCTTCTCTTCTCCAGCTGCCCCAGCCCAGCTCTCTCAGCCTGGCTCCAGAGTAGAGCTGCTCCAGCCCTCGCAGCAGCTCCAGGGCCTCCTCTGGCCTCGCTCCAGCAGCTCCACGTCCCTCTTGTGCTGTTGCCCAGAGCTGGATCAGGGCTGCAGGGGGGGTCTCCCCAGAGCACAGCAGAGGGGCAGGATCCCCTCCCTGAGCTGCTGCTCACGCTCTGGGAGTGCAGCACATGATGAGTTCTGTTGAGCTCTTCATCCGCCAAACCAAATTCATTCCCAAGGTCTAAAGAGAAAACACTTCCCCCTAAAACACCACATTCCCAAAGGACACAACCCCTGATGTGCTCAGCAGTGAGCAAAGTGGCTTCCACCACCTCAGCCATCGCTTCAGTTGTAAGGACAACTCGTCCGCGTGGTCACTGGGATGAACCACCTTGGCCTGTCCCTGCAGACCCAACCCCTTCGTTTCCTTTAACTTGTGCTGGATTTTTCTCTACGTTCCCCACAGAAAGATTGTAAGTAAGATAGATGAAGACAAGGACGGGTTTGTAACGGTGGAGGAGCTGAAAGCCTGGATTAAGTTTGCCCAAAAACGGTGGATCTACGAGGACGTAGAGCGGCAGTGGAAGGGGCACGACCTCAATGAGGACGGCCTCATTTCATGGGAGGAGTATAAAAATGCCACCTACGGCTACATCTTAGGTAGGTTCCTACTCATGGGATACAACCTGTACGGAGCTGGCGCTTGAAACTTGCTGTTTTGTTTTTGTAGAGTGATTGTAGCTAAAATAGACACGGATAAGGATGGGTTTGTGACCGAGGGGGAGCTCAAAGCCTGGATTAAGAAGGCCCAGAAGAAATACGTGTATGACAGTGTGGAACGGCAGTGGCAGGAGTTTGACATGAACCAAGATGGATTTATCTCCTGGGATGAGTACAGGAACGTGACGTATGGCACGTACCTCGGTAAGGGACGAGGTGGCCCCGGCTGGTGGTGGGCTCGAATCAATAAAGCAGAGGTATGAGGAGCTCCAAACATCCCCCAAAACTCTCCAAATTGACCTTCTGGTGGCATTAACCGAAGGGAAAAGTAAAGATGGGGAGAAACCACCCCCAAAGTGAAGTTGGGCATCAGCACGTGGCTTTAACTCTGCTTTATTGATGTGCTTGACTATGGAACGGAGCTCAGCGCTCAGCTGAGAGCAAGGCCGGGGGTCAAGGCCCTTGTTGCTTCTTGGCGTGGAATTACGGAATCACAGGATCGTTTGGGTTAGGAGGGACCTTAAAGCTCCTCCAGCTCCAACCCCTGCCCCAGGCAGGGACACCTTCCACTAGAGCAGGTTGCTCCAAGCCCCTGTGTCCAACCTGGCCTTGAACACTGCCAGGGATGGGGCAGCCAGAGTTCAACCCATTCTGTGTCCCACCACCCTCACAGTGAGGAACTTCTCCCTAAGATCCCATTGAAATTCCACCTTGCTTTTGAATTTCAAGCTCTTGGTGGTATTTAGCACCCACAGAAGGACACCACCTAACCCCTGTAGATGCCTCTTTCTGGGTGTCTCGACCTAAATCATTGGAAGATCTTTAGCAAAGAGTTTTCTCCTTGTGCACTTCTCCCTCCTCCCCTTCTCCAGTAGCTTTAGACCCCAAAGCTTGTTGATTTTGACACCCAGGTCAGGTCAGGAGGCCCCTCATGAGGACTGAAACCACCCTGAGGAGTGAGGTAAGGAGAAGCTCTTCGGGGGTTAAGACATTAAGAAGCTGTCCCAGCTCCTCTGCCAGTTGTTCCTGCCTCTTGGAACGCTGACATATATGGTGTGATGAGCTCCAGCTTGAAAGCATGAGATAAGGTTTTCATTGACTAAATATTGCCAAAGATGGTCAAATGCTCTGCAGGACCTTGGAGGCTCTTGCCTCATCCGTCATCCCTGGGTTTGGGCTCCTCTGGAAGGCATGAGGGGAAGCTTGAGGTTTGGCTGGAGAAATGAGCCCCCCAGGACCCCACCAGGTCTCACTGAGCTCCTCAGGGCTGGGACAGACCTTACTAAGCTGCTCTTACCCATTAACTGGGTGTGATGATGAAGCTGAAGAGAAGGTCTGGTCTATCTCCTTGTCCAAATCCAGGCTTGAAGCAGGAGGAGAGGTCCTGTTATGGCTTTTCTTGGGGTCCATGCAGTGGGATTTACGAGCTGGGGTGTAGAACACTTCATAACCCCCACCTTAAAGGGTTAAACCCCCTTAGTGAGGAGAAGAACCTCAGTGAGAGGAACCTCAATGAGGAATCCAGTTCTTAAGCTTCAATGGCAAGAGAGGGGAGTGCCTCAGCCCCGCCACGGACAGCGTGT